AGATAATCGACCCCTTACATCTTTGAAGTCTGTGCCTATAAGCAGAATAAATAACTACAGCACAAAGACATTATTGCAGTAATATGCTATGTATCTGCTCAACTCGGTAACATTTACACACAAGATATTTACTGCATAATCACTCAAGCTTACAAAAAACCTCGTAGGTTTTTCACTGTGCTATAAAATAGGACTATGTGCCTACATAATACATAATAATGCCTCTTTAAAGCCAAAATTTTGTGCCGTTTTTGTTTTCTTAGTAAATTTCAGAATATATCACAACATGCAAAATTGTGACTACAGAGCTTTTATTTGAAGTTATTTGAAAATAAGCAGTTTCTCATAAATTAACTTGCTCATTCCTAGAAGTAAACAGTTTAAGCTTGAGTGGAACTGACCGTCATTTATCTACCACAAGTGTCATAATGTTAATTTTACCTATCATTTTCTCTTGGTAAAGCTGGAGACAATTACAAAAAAAATAAGTAAAATACAATATAAAGAGTGTATGCAAGTTCAGAGGAGCAACAGTTGCTAGTTGTCACTTATTTCTTGTTTTAAAAAAATGTTACATTATCATTAGACACACTTCAGAAATTCCACATCTGTTACCAAAACTGCCACGATTCCTTCGTCTTGTACTTCAGTGCTCCTTGTGTTCAAGGTTTATCATCATTCCGGGTCCCGTAACAGATGAGCTACAAAGCTCTGACTACAAATCACAGGTGGTGGGAATTTTCAGAGCACTTATTTTATTGGTTCTTCAGCTCAAAGAGATGATTACACAGAGTGCTTCTCAGAAGAATGCTTGTCAGATTGACAGACTTATCATAAGTGTTGTGTAGCGCCACAAATTTCTACCACAGTTCACAAATGCAAACTAGAAAACAGGACACAATCATAGTGCGATGTATACGTTTTCCCTCCTCTCATACTCCTACACATTCAGGCCTTCTCTGAGTCAATTAGCATGACTCCAAACAAAATGCCCTCACCACTTCCAGATGGAGCTTCCAACACTCCTACACATGAGAGAACACTCTTGTTAAACACGTCTTGTTAAATGAGTTAAGTATCAATAATTGAATGAGATAAGGATTTGCTCCATGTACAAACAGTTGTTTGACAATGTGTCGGTGACGAAGAAAAACAACAGTGATGGTCATAAAGTGGCCGTGACACTAAATTAGAGCCAAAGGAACATTCTATGGCACCAAGTTTGACATCTTACGTTGTAGCAGCACATTATTATACAAGTATTATCTCTGAGTGAGTGAAACTTGCACTAAATGTGTTCATTTCCTTTTCATCTAAAATTTAAATCAACAGCATACAGATGGAGGAACTTTTCTTCACTCAGTCACAATTTTTTTTTCTTTTTCTTCTGTTCCCCTTTTTTGTGGGAAATGTTTGTGGCATAAATGTACCTCTCTTCTCTCGCAGCCGTCAAATCATAACAAATAATCTTTAATTGTTCTGTTTACAACTGTTCCACAGACAAGCCAGACATTACAGGAAGTCGCTATTTATCCACTTACCGACACCCACGTAGGCACAAACGTCTAACATTTAAAATGGTTCAGATGAAAAAAAAATGGCACTGTGACACATCAGATTATCAATGAACATACTTCTTATCTTGAAATCACTATTTCATTCTTTATGTTTCTTCATGCTTTTAAAGATATTTTCATTAATTGTTTGTTGCTGCCATACATTTGAAACTGACTTTTAAAACAGCGCAGGATTTTGTTTTAGGAGCCATCTATAGTATTTATTTGTCTTTTTTGTTTTGTTTTTTTCTGTTGTAAACTGAGTTTTAAAAAAAAAAATCATGGCCTGTTTTTCTGTGTGCGACTTGCAAAACCATTTTTTTTTCTTTCACTAACAGTCTTCTTCAATCCTTATGGACATTCAGAGTGAAAAAGCAATTAAAAGTATGAGCGCATTAGTGAGTGACTGCAGATCCCCCTGTGTACATCTTTGGGCTTCCAACAAACAGCACACAACTCTGTGTTGTGGGAAAGACTTTGAGGTAGCAGAGAGCGCAGGAGTATGTTGTAGTCATCAAAAATGTCTAGTTGGTGAAGCAGGAGAACATTCTCTCTTTGGAAAATGTTGACAAATCGTTAACTGGAGTCATGAGCTAAATAACAGGGAAGAAAGCAGGACAGTATTTTTTTTTTTTTTTTCCTGTCCCATCTAGGTATTTTAGAAATACCATGTGGAGAAACTTGTTGCCAACATGTGCCAGGGCAGATCTGTTGTACAAAAAGGATATATCCAGACGAAAATTGACTTTAATAACATTGATCTGGCTTCTAGATGCAGTTAGTCAGTGTGGTGCTCACCATTGCTCATGCAAGACCCACTTGGTCACCTTCTCAGCACAGCCTCAGCAAATGCAGCAGGCCCAGATGTGGTTAACAGTGAAATCATGCAGGTTTCCAGGACGGGTCGTGCACAGGACAGTGGAGTTGACTAAATTGGTTCTCCCTGTCTATCCAAGATTCATTTCCATTATCAGATCCTGCATGGCGTAGCGCAACTCTTCTCCATTTTTTTTTAACTCACTTCAGGTTCTACAAGCTGCACCAAGCTGCACCAAGCTGCACCAAGCCGCACAAGCGATTTGATAGCAGACTGCATTTGTTGATTGGCTCATGATTTACATCACTGCAAATTCTAAACTACATTTCAACCACCTCAGTAGACAGACTGACATGATGTCTGCTATCAGGCTGCTGCTCAGTGTGAAGGAGGGTAATTATGAGTTTAATCTTGAGGAGCACGAGGATCATAGGCGTCAACTTTTAGAGCAGAATGACAGTGATTTAGCAGCCCTGCAAACAGCATAGCTTACTGAAGAACGACCACGCATTGAAGAAGCTAGAAGCTGTGCAGCTCTGGTCAGCTATAGTTTGGTGTTTGGTGCTGGCAGGTGAGAAACTCCAGAACTACATAATATTAGTTTGGCATGATGTGCATTTTTTTCCTTGTTTGGAATTTTCTTTTAAATAAAGTCATTGCTTGGATATCGGTTTACTTCTTTTGACTACATTACCTAAATCCAAAAGGTTAAACATGTTTAAAACATAAAAATAAAGTGCTAAATTATAGATACATGTGTTGTCAAATAAAAATAAAGTCTAAGTTCAGCTAATCTGAACTGCTTTCATTATGTTTGGGCCAGCAGTGAGAAAATAAGACAAAATGAAATATCTTGCCATTTAAAACCAGATCCTCCAGGTTCTCCTGATTCAACTATAGCTCCTGGTAACCCATAGCCTGCCCACATTCCTACTTATATTCACGCCCACAATAAGGAACACACTCCAACAGATATTAACCAGTTAGAATGAGACTTAGTAATGGAGAAGCAGCTTAAATGTGCTGTTGTTTCTTTGTGGTTCTCAGAGAGTGCATTTTACATTAAGGGCACCTTGAACTCAAGGTGCCTTGTTAGTGGGTTACTACACCTTTTTGCCAGTAAAAAAAGAAATGTTGATCCCAGTAAATACTTAAAGTACAGCAGGACTAATATGACTAAGAATAAAATTTTAAATTCAAATAAATGCTTATGCATCTTTGCAATTGCAAAATTACTAAGGTGATTTTGGCTCTAAAGATTTGGTTATTAAATACTGGTTGGTAGGCATAAATGTGCCCTCGGACGTCACCATTTACCACAATTTTATTTGGATACAATAGATTTTTCCTGGCATATCAATGGCAAACACTATTTTTTTCTATTTTCCAGATAACAAAGTGTTATTTGGCAAAAACCCAGTATTGACGTTAGTATATTTAAAGGTGTATGCCGTTATTTTAAATGAACCCTTAGTCGTGCCCTAACCTGGCTTGTGGCTCCACCCACTGTGGTGGATTTTTTTCTATGTTTGTTAGGGGAGGTGTCTGCTTACCCAAAAGGTTAGTTACACTTTAAGTATGACCATAAAAAAATAAACGAGACCGTTAACACACAGCTAAAGCGTCTTACCTTGTCCTGACACATGAACTATATGAAAGTAGGGGACATTAGAAGCCACACCCACGCTTCACAGATGCGAAAGGACTTGCAGACTGGAGCGGGTGCACATCTAATACAAGAGAGAGGGAGAGAATTTCATTTAACCTGAGTACAACCATAACGTCAGCCACTTGCCGCTGGGCAGGACCAGATGCTCTGTCCTTCATGCTTGTTTTCCAGCTCCTTCTTCAAGCATGCCAGTGGACGCTCACAGACTTGTCCAATTTTTCAAATGAAAATCTTGCACCCCTGATTCTGTGCTATGTACTTTGCCTTCTTGCTATTCAATTTACCTTGGCAATACCAGTTTTATGGCTATGACATTAAACTTGGAATAAATTGTTGCCGTTTCTTTCTTTCCTTCTTTTCTTTTGTTCTACCTTTCTTGCTGTCTTTGCCTTCCACATTGACCTACTTTTTATTTAATCCATGCATAAAAGGAAATAGATTTAATCTAAGAATAACTATTATTATCTGAATTAATTGAACACATTTCAGATTGGTTGTCGTGTTCGTCTAATTATTGTTTTGTCAGTCCTTGCATCAACTATCAACAATAGTCCAGTAACAATATTGCAAATATCACACAGACATCTGCTTCTTTTCAATACACAAATCCTGAGGTGGATGTAAAACTGAATAGGACATGCTTGCCTCTTGCATGCAGTGGATTTTAGCACATTAAAAGTGACAGTGTGTATTGTAGTGTAAAAAAAAATAAAAAATAAAAATAGAGACGAATTTTAGAGATGACTCAAATTATCTCATCATGATACACACCAGAAATATTTGCCTCAACATAATTTCAAGCTTAGTAAATCATAAAGTCACTATTCAAAAACAACTTCCTCTAGGGAAAGTCTAAACAGCTTGTAATATAGTTTAATTTTCTGAAGAGACAATTTTGTTGTTTATATTGAAATCAGATTCCGCATTCCTTTTCATAATTGTTTTCATGTTTATTTCTCTTTGTTTGCCATTAGTGAATTTCTTTCTCAGTATGAATTATCATCTGGCTCTGCTTTGCTTCTTTTAGGTGACCGAAACAAGGACGGGCCCACTTGGATGCAGTAACTATGACAACCTCGACTCTGTCAGCTCTGTTTTGGTTCAGAGCCCTGAAAACAAGATTCATTTGCAAGGTTGGCCATCCATAATTGAACTCCCCCCAATTTCTGAAGGAATTGTCACAGTGTCTGTTCCCTGGCAAGTTTATAACTACAGCGCGAGAGTGTCAGAACAAATTTAGCTTCAATCACTCTTTCTTTTTTTTTTTTCCCCAGTGCATGCTTGCAAAGTTTTGAGGTAAATCCCAACCAGCAAAAATCCGGAACGGAAGTAGAGTAACTGTGGAGTAAAAATAAAATTGAGTGAATCTTTGCATAAATGTTTTTGTTGCCAAGCATGTGCATTGTAAATAAGAAAGTCACAATCAGTCTTAAATCAATTACTCTACAGATGTTGCACACAGAAGTGATCTACAGTATACTTATACTACAGTGCTTAAAGGACATTTGTGCAGTTCTTGTTTTATTCATCTATATGTTTGTCCTGTTTCTTTTATTGCTTCAGGCCTCCAGGCCATACTGCCAGAATATCTGAGAGCCAGGTTTGTGCAGGCTGCTCTAAGTTATATTGGCTGTAATGAAGAGGGCCAGTTTGTGTGCCGGGACAACGACTGTTGGTGCCAGTGTGCTGTCGACTATCCGCAATGTAATTGCCCTGAGGTTGATCTGAGGGCTATGGAAGGCAGTTTACTGCAAATCAGAGATTCATGGAACATGGCCAACCAAGACTTTGAGGCATCAGGTCAGTGTTATTCTCCTGTCTCTCCCTGATTGATGGTGGTGCTTTCTCTGGGGAAAAGAATGCAATCAATTGTCAAAAGAGGTGAAAAGGATAGAAATGATTGGTTGATAGGAGAAATTAGCTGTGATGTATTTACTTTGGCTCTTCTCTTGATGAAAATATAAATTAGAGATATATCTGGTGTTGTGCAGCAACATGTTGGTTTGGCTACAAATTATTATTGATGAGGAGCTAAGACAATTATGAAAGTTTGTCATTTTAATCTAAACTACTAAATTAAGGCACTGCCTGATTATACTGAAGTAATAGTCAAACAGCTCTGTTGCTGTCAGTTACTGTGTAAGGTTGTCTGCCTTGTGAGATACAGAATAAAAACATTTATCTAAAAGAAAATATTTTAATAACAAAATACTTCAAGATTCAGTTAAAATACTTTTGTCCAGATACTCTAACTATGCTAGTAAGATTCAGTTTAACTACTAAGAAAAAAAAAAAAAAAAAAAAATGAAGAAAAGAAAAACAAACTATTAAACTACTATAGGGGAAAATTGAGGCTGCTGCCAACTCATCTAAGTCCCATATTTAAGCGCCACTAATACATATAATACATACGTGAGTGTAGGTGGTGTGCTCTGACCGACCGCGGTACGAACACAGTGAGCTGCGTAGTAACAACATCAGGACTAATGGTGGATCACTTCTTAGGCAAGAGAAGTTTATCTGTATAACACATTTCAGAAACAAGTAAATTGAAGGTGATTTAAATTATGAAAAGATAAAACAAGAAGCAAGGAACACATATTCAATTTTCTCAAATGCCATCATCAAAATCATCACCATAAAATATTTCCATAAAGACTAAATTAATTGATGTTCTACTCACTAGTAATCAACTCTTAGTAAATTATTTGAGCTTTGATTTAAAATGAACTCATTGTTTCAGCATTTTTCTGGAAGTTTATTTCAGATTAGAGGAACATGCTGATTCTCCCTGTTTGGTTCTGATTCTGGGAATGCAGATCAGACTTGAACCGGAAGAACTGAGTGGTCTGGAAGGCTGACACAATGACACCAGGTTTATAATGTATTTTAGTGTCAATTATTTCAGTGATTTCTAAATCAACTAAAGTATTTTAACATATACTCTTTGAGCTACAGGGAGCCAGTCTAAGCACTTTTAGAATGGAGATGATGTGCTCTATTTTCCCAGTTTCAGAAAGGATGTGAGCATTAGCAGCTGGGATAACGGAGACAGAATTGCCTGTATCTATGATCAGATTCTTTCTGCATGAGCTGAGCCAGCCAGTTTCAGACTCCTAGTCTCATTTTCGGTTGGGTTACAGTCGTTGATTATACAGCAGACAGCAGACCACATTTTACTTTGGATCCAAGGACTTCTTTGTTCAAGATATCGTCCTGTTCTCAGCCAACAAGACTTTCACACGCCTGTCCTCCATGACGCAGTCTGTGGAGAGCTTCAGGCAAAGAATTTGAACATTGCTCTGCTCATGTTGCTATACCTCTATGACATCACGGAGATTACAGCTGTGGGGATCTCCTCCTTCCAGCAAGCTGTCATGAAAACGGGTTAATACTATGCTTGGTCGAGTTCAGAGTTGTTGCCAATCATGTAGTCCATGTTTCTATGTGGCTTCTGTATATCTCAAACTGGTTTTACAGTCAGCCTTACTTCACTTGTAAATCTTTCTTTTTGTTGAATCAAAGCTCTTGTGCAGAACCATAACCTTAGATGTGAAACAGCACCAAAATTGACTTTCAGACATTTATTTATTCAGGAATTATATTAGACTATAGCATGTCAAAGATGGGTGCATGTGCAGGTTGCTATACTATGTTCTGCCAGAAGCATGCATTTGTATGTGTGGTTTTGGATTGGCTGAAAAACTCCATAAACATGACACTTGGTATTAGGACAAATTTTACATTAGATATTAGAACTAATATAAAGCTGAAAGATGATGTTTTAAATTCAGAGCACACTACAATATACAACCCAGGGTTACCAAAACAATTTGTATTTACTAATTGCCAGAATAATACATGAGATAAATGCATTTATTTATTTAAAGATTGTCCAGAAAACCGTAATTGGTGCAACAATATCCAAAACATAAGGCCGTTATCTTTCTACTTCCCAGTTGGGATGGCAATCTCAAGTGTCTCGTTTTCGTTCAAATTTAACAGTCTTCATTACAGCCCAACTCTACCATTTTAGTTTCATCAGACCACAACACATATCTTCAAAAGTTTAGGCTGAATCCCAGAGTGCAAAACGTAATTAGTGTTTTTATGTAGCTTTTTTTTACTAATAGCTTCTTCCTCACTAGTTTCCCTGTGGATAATGACTTTCTGACACTAGCTTCAGCCTCCTCATCATGACTTTTGCTGCTGTTAATTTGCACATTTCACACCAATATACATTTTATCTCTGAGGCAAATAGCACCTCTGCTTGCAATGGTAAGATGGCCAGACATGCTCATTGTGTTTATTCTTTGTATGAACCAGGGATGTGGTAGATTTAGACATCTGAGGCTTCCACCTAGTTAGCCATTACATATTTAACTATATAGTAAATATGATATATTTTCAAAATAATGTAAATCAACTTTTAGCACATTTTTTGATGGTGAATTAAATGTTAAATGATTATAAGATAACTGATGATAAATATCTAAAGGCTGAAATACAATTATCCAACATTCTTATGGTGATTTTGGAATAAAGACAAACATTATAGGTGTAGATTTGTAACTTGCAGGATGCAGGGTAGAAGGTGCACTAAACATTTTGGATTTATTGGGAAAAGGTTTTTAGTTAAAGACTTGAAACTTGATCCTGAATTGGAATAAATGACCTGACTTGAGATTTGCCCTTTAAAGACATGAAACTCTGAAAAAGAAGATTTGTCAATATTTCTCTTGTAGGTAGATAGGTCAGTTTTAATAAAAAAAATAAATAAATAAAACAAAGTTCTGTGATAATTCTGCAAACATGAATTGTTGCAAAACCACTGAGGTGATTTTATTATTGCTAGCTGTTTTCAAAAGACCTGTGTTTCCTTTCTACATGAGACAATGTCCTCTGTGTATGTCATAGGAATGATGAGTTAATAAAAATCTGACAGTGGCTTAAAGCAATGCTGTTTAACAATTGTGCAAGATTTCTATGTGACCTAACAGAATCTGAGACATCGAAGAGTGAGCTGACTCGGTGTAAGCATCATTGAGTGTTCAAAGCACATCAACCTAATTCTTGACATTTATACATGTATCTGATGGTGGCATTTTTGCCTCTGTGTTTGTATTTAGATTGTTTGGTCCAGGAAACAAAAGTGCATGTGAATTGATGTGACTGGATCAACAGTGAATCAGTCAAATGAAGACCCTCCAGTAGCCTGAGGAGAATGTGTCATGCCCTAGAAATGAACCACAGTTGCTATAATCCGTTAGGAGCACATGATGTAACCTCTAATATAATACTTCACGGCTCAGTTATTGCCATTTTGTCTGTTAGCCTTATTTAATGTTTCTTGATAAACATGACAAAAAAGAGCACATCAACAGACTTCCGATGATCATTTTTAATTCAATTTCCATTTATGATCTGACAAACTGTCTCGTGTAAACAATTTGGAGGTTACGTCAAACACTGCCTCCATTCTGCGAATTCTTTATTTTTGTACCGCTCTCAACTTGTCTGTTTTTCTGTGTTATTTCCAAAACTTAGCTGCATTCACGAGCACATCACTGTTTGAGACATTTCCAGCTTTGCCTTGAGCCGTTTTCAGAACACCTTGCTGGTTCAGACCATTACCACTGGCTACATGTTTCTTCACTGAGAGCGACTCGATTAGCACATTCTTGGCAATAACTTAAGCAGCAAGGTGCACTGAAAGCACAGTTTCAGTGCAGTATTTATTAAAGAAAAATAAGGTCCTATGAACCCCCTGTGGACCTACTTGCACATTTGATCATATGGAGAACAACTTACAGCCTTACTAGAAAGATTAATAATCATAACTCTGATTGTTAAATTAGGTTTCTGCTGTCAGCTGATGGTAGATATGATTTGCTTTGATCTCACGCTGAGCGTTACATGTTTTATTGAAGAGATTATATTTTTTTTCCAGCTAGATCAGTTTCTCAATTCATAATGGACAGCAGGATTTTTGTTTTCTGGTGCTCATACACAGTATTGTGTAGGAGAACAGAACTAAAACACAACAACCCAGACACACAACAACCTCTATACTGGAATGTACCTACAAATCCTAACAAAGTCACGCTTTAAGCGAAAATGTTGTCTCTAAAAAATGAACACAATTGTCTGTACACAATCCATCAATTGTAAACTGTTCGAGGCAATTAGGAGAACATTTAGCATATCTTAGCTTAACTGGCTCATAATTTTATCATGGAAATTAGACTAAAATCTGAAAGTTATTTTTATTATGCCTAATTATTATTATGTCTAATTATTATGGTAAATTGACAGAATTTATATAGCACCTTTCCAGTCATAATGACCAGTCAAATCACTTTGCACAACAGATGCATTCACAAATATATTGGAGTTAAGCGCCTTGCGTGGAAGTAAAGCAGCCTTCCAATTGCAAGACGACTATCAGAGTTGCCTCAATTATCTATATGTACTCCACCCAAATCGCTTTTTTGTCTTACTTCTCCAGTTAAAAGTGCCATTACATTTTTCAATTAGTGGCTGATAAGATAATAATGGTGTGTAGATAGCAAATTTCAAGCAGTGAGGTTTTATTTCAATGAGTGTTAAATGTCTTCTAGCTTCATTTCGCAATTCTGTAGTTTCCTGAACATACATGATTTTAATCATCCTAAAGCTTGCAAAAGTTCACTTCAGTGTTTTAAGTCAATATGTTGGCATGTACCATGATGCATTGTTTTTTTTTTTTTTTTTATCCTTTCAGCCTTTACTTGCAGTTTTTTCTTCCTCATTTCTTTTA